GTTTCTGGAGGCCTTTCCTTCACGAGTGGGCCCTGCTGAAAGCGGCCTGCAGGTAAGTTCAGCGCCTCTCCTGCGCAGGCCGCCGAGCTCGCCGAGTACACGGCCAAGATCGCCCTGCTGGAGGAGGCGCGCAGGCGCAAGGAGGACGAGGTGGAGGAGTGGCAGCACCGGGTGAGTGCGGGGGCCCGGCGGGGCGGGGCGGGGCTGGCTGGCTGGCTGGTCCCGGCGAAAGCCATGGTGAGGGTTCGCAGCCCTCGGCGATACTAGTTGTCCTTGGACAGAAATCCCCATAGGAATGGGCTTGCCCCCGCGCACCAGCGAGCGCATTGTTGGATTAGCAGGGCAACAAAGAACGACTGTTCGCTCCCACCCACTTTGCTCTGGGCAACCCCCCCCCCAGGAACCAGCTTCAAGTTGGATTAGGTCGGTGCCCCCAGCAGCCAACCGCAGTGCCCGAAACAAGCCCTCTCCTGACTGCTGGCGCATGCAGTCTGGCACCGGGAGTGATCTGGGCCTGGGAGGTCTGCAGACCTTCCCTTGTCGAAGATGGGGATTACTACCCAACTTGTAAGGCTGGTCTAAGGACCCTGCAGAGCTTAATAAATTGTAGCTGTGATAGTGAGAGTATGTTCCACTCCGTCCTCCGGAGAGCCTTTCTCCGTCTGTGAGCCTTCACGCCCACCTGGAAGCTCCTCCAGGCTTCCCCATCTGCGGCAGCCCCTTAGGGAGACACTGGTGCCTCCCCCTCTCTAGTTTTCACCCCGCCCCATCCCCCAACCCAAGTTGGGTGCAGAAGACGTCAGTCCTTAGGTTTTTGGAGAAAGTGCTTATTATAAAGTATTAAGTGAAAAAAGCTGGTACAAACCAGGTACAGACTAAGCTCATCTGTGGAGTCAGGGTGGCGATGAAGTGGGTGGGAAAGTTTTAAAACACAGAAATTGCTGGAAGGATTAGGGGTAGGAAATTCCTGAGCGCCGTGCTGGTGCGCAGCAGGGAGCTCGATAAACTGGCCTCACAGGAAGAGGAACAAAGCCACACACAAGAGCGATAGCAGCCCTTTCCAGTGGAAGGATAATTTTTTAACTTTTTTCAAAAATGTGTACAATGAACATATACTGGGATTATAGACAGAAAAAAAGTTTTTAGAAAAAAGTCAAGCCCTGGGCATCAGTTTATCTCTTTGTGCTGCGGGCACGCTTGGTAACTGCTCTGAGGATCCAGAGCCCCATACCCGGAGGAGGTTGGTCAGACCTGCAGGGGACACCTGTGATTGGCCATAGTCGCCTCCTCTGGCACGTGTTGCATGCACCTGCCAGGAGAACGGGAGAGGCAGGGACGAGAGAGGGCAAATCCCTACTCCCAAGGAGAATGGGCCCCCTTCATAAAGGTGATTCCGAAGAAAGCAGTCCAAGCACAAGGTTGTGTGTGAGATGTTCTCACCTGTTTGTTTTTCGTAGGCCAAGGAGGCCCAGGATGACCTGGTGAAGACCAAGGAGGAGCTGCACCTGGTGATGACAGCCCCCCCGCCGCCCCCGCCCCCCGTGTATGAGCCGGTGGGCTACCACGTCCGGGAGAACCTGCAGGAGGAGGGCACGGAGTACACGGGCTACAGCGCCGAGCTGTCCAGCGAGGGCATCCTGGACGACCGCAACGAGGAGAAGCGGATCACCGAGGCCGAGAAGAACCTGCGCGTGCAGCAGCAGCTGATGGTGAGGGACGGGGGGGCGGGGGACAGGGCAGCAGGAGGGACGCCCCCCTTACTGAGTGCGGCCTGACCCATGCTTCTCGCTGTTACAGACTCTGTCCAGTGAGCTGTCCCAGGCCAGAGATGAGAACAAGAGGACCCACAACGACATCATCCACAACGAGAACATGAGGCAAGGCCGGGACAAGTACAAGACGCTGCGGCAGATCCGGCAGGGCAACACCAAGCAGCGCATCGACGAGTTCGAGGCCATGTGAGGGCCGGGCCAGGACTGGGCAGGGCGGCGCCTCCAGCCTGGGCTCCGCCGAGGGTCATGAGCAGACACTGAAACTTGTATTTGTAGTTCTCTGAATCTAGACCCTTCCTCGTACTCTGGTTCCTTTACAAAGAGAGTAGCTATTTCAGTGGGAATATTCTGGGGCTGGGACCAGTGGGGGCTTCCCTGGTTTATTTTTCCCATTTGTATCATAGTGCCAAACAGGCCTGATTTTTATTATTATTATTATTGAATCACTTCCTGTCTTATGCTTGGAGCAGGGCTGATTGAATTAAGGAAAGAGATGCCTGTAACGCCTAACTCCATGCTGACGTGTGATACGAGATTCAGTATAATTAAAGAAAACCACACGGTGGCTTCTACTCTGTGCCATACTTTTTTCTGTATTTGAAATTAGCTCGAATTGATTTGTACTTGATTTCTATGAAGGAGGCATCTTTGTATATTTATGTTTTGGGGAGTGAAGACAGGGTCTAGAGCAGTCACACACGTATACACAGTGACTTCCTCTGGCGACCAGGTCCTTCGCTCGCTTGGGATAAACACACAGGACACTCCACTCTTGGATCACCTTTTCTTGTTTTTTGTTTTTTTAAGTTAGAGGGCTACCCTGTTGGACTTACACACCTAATTAATGATCAGCTATAGAGTATAGTATTTATACATAAGCAATAATATGGGTTTGTAACGTTAGCTTAAAAAAGGGAAAGTTTTGTTCTGTATATTTTGTTACCTTTTACAGAATAAAAGAAGTACATATTAAAAATCCTGTAACCATGGCACTTGGTCTGGTATGACGTGAGGGCAATGAGGAAGCCAGTTAACTGCTACAGTCCCATCTCGACTGCACGTTGCAGTTTTCTATCAGAGCTTCTTGCAAAATACACACCCTCTGTTAATTCAGACCCCAGCCGTGAAGGCACCCTCCCGACCCGGGGAGCATCTGTTTCCACAAGAGGAACCTGTTCTGGCCTATTTCCTGTTCGCCACATCCTTGAAAGCCATGGAGACATCGGCTTCTGTGCCGCAGGCTCTGCTCAGTCCTGTCCTTCCTCTTGTGCTCTGCTCTGACCCTTTCCCAGTCAGGGTGCCGTGTGGAGGAACCCCCACCGCAGACGTGAGCGGTGAGGCGCAGCGTGGGTGCCTGCTTGCCGGTCTGTCTGTCCTGCCAGCTACTTCTGGGGCTGGGTGTCCCTCGGGTGGGCCGTAGAGCTCACCCACCCAAAATGGGACTGTGGCCCCTCCTCACCCCTCAGCTCTTCATGGGGTTGGCTGGCCTGCCTCCAGAAATAACTTTTTGCAGTAGAATGGGAAGGATCGGATACCCACCAGGCTCCCTCTCTTTCTTTGAAACACATATAACAAGGCCGTAATTTTCACTATTTGATAAGCACTGGGAGGTAACAAACATTTATTGAAATCTGGCTGTTTTCCACATCTCAGAGCACAGATACCCAACCAGAGGCTCCTTTCTGTAACCGGCCGTTCCACAGAGGGGCGTGGGAGGGCGGTCTAGGTGCACACCCGCCGTGGACAGGGAGGGGTCGCCCTCCAGAGCCTTTACCTGCTGTGCGTCCACAGTTCAGCTGGCCCTCGGGCACCTGGGCGTCAGTGCAGGACGAGGGTCATGTCTGTCCATAAATTAGGGCTGGAAAGAACTCGCTGCCATTGCAGCCTTGACTGTGAGCCCACGTCAGCACCACCGGCTGGGTCCCCCTCTGTGATGTGACAAAGGACAAATTAGTAACCAGGGGCCTGCAGACCACCTTGCCACCCCTGTCTCCACTTTTTAAAAAGGAGGCCCAGCCTGTCTGGGCGTGGCTCTGGTTAAGCGTCGACCTAGGATCTAGGCGATCAGGGTTTGATTTCCGGTCAGGGCACATGCCCAGGTTGCGGGCTCGATCAATGACTCTCATCATTGATGTTTCTCTCTCTCTCTCTCCCTCTCCTTTCCTCTCTGAAATCAATAAAGATATGTTTTTTAAAATAAATAAAGAGGCCCCCAAAAATAATAGTAATAAATAAAAAGGACCGGCAAGGACAGTATAATTTTTCACCTTGACTTAAGACCACATTAAAATACCAACCACTGGTGAGTGAGAGAGAAACCCCACCCTTGACCCTCAACAAAACATGTTCAGGATGAGCCACCCTCGTGCATCCTCCCAGGGACTTGAGGCCTCAAAACCCTGAAGCTGTTCTGTGGAGACTGAGGAGGGGACAGGCTGGGTGGGCTGGTTCTCCCAGGAGGGCTGACTGCAGCCTTAAGGCACTACAGTGTCTGGAGGCTGGGTTTGCTCAAGAAAAAGTTCCTTCTAAGGAGGCTTGCTGTGGACAATATTTCTTCCCAAATTGTGAGTCCCGTTTATCTCCATGGTCCCCGGTTGACCTTGGAGATGTGTGCAGGTATCTCCGTCAGAGTTTGGGAGGCACTGCTGGCAACCAGCAAGAGGGCTGGGGCACTCAAGCCCTGACAAAGGACTGTCCCCTTCAGAATGTCAGAGGCACCCCCCGCTGAGCAACACAAAAGCATCGCCCCTCTGCCCGCGCTTAATGAAGTACTTTCTGAACTGCCAGTTGTGTGGGTTAAGATACTTATCCTTTAAGAAAATAATCCTTTTACAAACGACACCAGGAACAAAAGCAAACGCTGTACCCAGCCCACTTCGAGATCTGTAAGTTTTGTTTCTGTAGCAGATCCTAAATCTGATTTAAATTGTTGGAATACTTGGCTGTATTATTGCTCCATTGTTTAGTAAGAGCTGGACTCGGTGCTCTCCATTATGGCAGGTTAGGCAACGTCAAAGCCAGTGGAATCACCTGCCGTCGCGGAGACACGATTTTTCTTTTAATGGTATTCACGTGAGAGTCTGATCAGCCATACACTGGGGCCCATTAAATGTCTCAGACAGACTTACGGCAACCGAGCTTGGCCTCTCCCAGCAGGTGGTCGTTCATGCTGAAGAGGGCCTGGTCCCAGACGGTCAGTTGTAGGCAGGACTCCCTCAGCTGGGCAGGGGTGACACCGTTGAAAACAAAGGGGTGCTTCCACTGGGGACACGCTTGCTTCTTCTGGACTGGGGTCTTCAGCCTCAGTTTCCGCTTGTCTGGCAGAGTGAGACAGCTGCAGAAGGAAAACAGATACCCTGTGATGCCAGCCCTCCAATGGCCCCCTTGCCCTCTTGGCACTTGCTTCTCAGTGAGATATTAGTGCTAAGAGAAGGGCTTTGTTGAGCACAAAATGAAAACTAAACAATGAAAGGAGAATCACAGGATTGGCGAAGCGACCTCCGGGTGGGATATTCTGAGTTTGGAGTTGAATCCTGCACCGGGCGCTGGGGGTGACTGGGACTCGGGCCATGTGGTCCTCGCCTCCACCCCTCCTCGGTCTCCCACCACCAGGCCACAGCACACTCAGAGCTGCCAGCAGGGCCCAGGACGCTGCACACGTTACTCATTCTAACCCTGTCCTCAGAGTGGGTTCAGAAGGGCCAAGTCATTCGCCCGAGGCCCTACGGGCAAACACCAGGGTCAGGCAGACGGGCTGTCTCGACGAAGACGCCACCCTTTCTCCATAGTGGTGCTGACAGGATTTAGCGATTCTACATGGCAGTGGCGTTTGTGTCCTGGCCGTGTGGCTCAGGCGGTTGAGTGTATCCCACCGAAAGGTCATCGGTTCAATTCCTATTTAGGGCACGTGCCCAGGTTGCGGGCTCGACCCCCAGTAGGAGGCCGCCATCCACGTTTCTCTCCCTCTCTCTCAATTTAAAAAAAATGGTGTTTGCTTTACTTTTGAAAACACACCTGTAACGAATAAAAATGAGAATGAAATCTGCTGAGTCACCATCTTACTGTTAATATAGGGGGATGTGAAGCTGACAAAACCTTTGCATGTTCCCTCTCAGTCAGTAAATGTTGACACTGTTACAGGACCAATGGGATCCAGGTTTCAAGTGAAAACGTGGTTCCAGATCTAGCCTCAGCATGAATTCCTGGAGATCAGAGTCTTGAAAACGACCTAGGTTGGATTTTCGTAGGAAAGGTAAAATACGACAAGTTTAAAATGCCTTACACTTTCTGGTGTTTTCTACAGTTCCTGGGGCCATGCCGTATGTTTAACAGACTACTGTAAGTAATACTTGATTAAATCTAATACCTACCCCGTAACAAATGAGTTCAGGGTACCATCTGACCGCACACGTAAATTTTTAGCTTCCAGCACCACCAGACAGAGTTGACCGTCACATGATGTCTCATCTCCTGCTCCTGGAAGAAAAGCCAGCATTGGCTGTCAACCCCACAGCAGGCAATGCCACTCCTCCCCTCAAAACTGACAGCTCCGCAGGAAGATGTGTGACAGCCCTCAGACCCCAAGAGCGCAGCTAGGAAGGGCACAGCCAGCGCAGCGGCCCTGCTGGCCCTGCTCCCACACTCGTCCCACCGAATGGTCTGCGCGACGGGGGCTGGAGGGACAGCCCAAATCCTGGGGCAACACCTGCAGGGGCCGAGACTAACCCAGGGAGGGGAAGGATGCGGAAGTTTTAGTGTAGTGGGAGCCAGCGGCTTGGGGAAGGGGGGGTCCCAAGGCTTCTGTTCTAGGGGCCTGGAGATGATCATAGGGTGCTGGCTGCTGGTCTGCTGGTCCAGCGAGCTCTCCTAGTCAAACAGGAAATCACTAAAATACATTGTGGAATTGCACGCGCGCCGTGTCCACCCCCCACCTCGTCTGTCCGTACGGCACGCTATTGAAGGCACAGTAGTTAAATCTGCGTGTCCCTCAAGGACCTGTCCTTGACCGGTTCTCTTGCTGGGCAGCAGCTGCTCACGTGACGGGGAGCCTGGGCTGCTGGCTCGGAGCCTCGCAGGCCCTGGTGTCCCCCACAGACCCAGGCTCCCAACCATACGCAGGAAGTCAGCCTTCAAGAGGGGCCCCAGTGGGGCTGTCTTCACCAGGGCGACCCTCCAAGCCAGCCCCTGGGAGGAAGCCTCAGGGCTGGCGTCCTAGGAGGCTTGTAAAGCCGGCATCAGACGCCTGGCCTGTTTGGGGTCACTCCATTCCCTTCCAAGCTAAGGGTTCCAGGGAGCCCGTTTCCCAGGCTGGGTGCCACAGCGCGTGGTGAGCACTGTGGGAGCTTGTGGGATCGGGGGTGGCAGACAGGAAAGGTGAAGAAACACTGGCCCACCTCTCAGCCTGCTGGCAGCTCCAGGCTTTGGGGACAGTGACAGTGACAGTGGAACATTCATGGGGCTGGAGGCCACCTACCTTCCTGAGCTTCCTGGAGCCGTCTGGGCCCTGCAGGGAGCACCAGTTTGGCCTGGACTATAAGTTCTCCATGAGTCGGAGGAGTGCTGTCTTCATGCTTCTCTGCCTGCGGGCAAAAGGCAGAGCTCAGAGGCCAGAGTGCCAGGCCCCAGGACCTCTTGGGCTCCTCTGGTTGCCTCAGCTCTGTCCATAAATGCCTCCTCCCCTCATCCACCTCACCCCTGCAAAGCCTGGGAGAGAGAGCCTTAGGGTGGAGTGGACAGGCTGTGGCATGACTGCTCTGCCTTCCATTTGTGGTGACCTTGCTCCCACCCTCACCACCCTCACCACCCTCACTGTGGGAGAAACCGCTCAGCCACCCAGCTACCAGCAGATGACCAGTCTGGGTGGCAGCCTTTCTTGTCTGGAATACGGGATCCTTGGAGGAGAAGACAGGCAGGGCCCCCCAAGTACAGGATCCTATGGGGAGACCTCATCTGGCAGGAGAAATCAGGAAAGCCTTCCTGAAGAGGTGGGACATAAGCGGAGTCTTGGGCAGACCTTGGACAAGAGAAAGCATTCCAAGTGGCTATTCTGAGTGTGGACCAAGGCTCTGAGAAGAGAAAGCGCCAGGCACCAGGGGCTGTGCAGACCACACAGAGCGAAGAGCACAGGAGAGGGGGAGGGGATGGCTCCCAGGCTGGGCACCCTCAGCTTGGCTCTGCAATAACCAGAGCCGTTTCTAAGCAGAAGCATTGTGACTGATCGCCTCTCTGGCTTCAGAGAGGAAAAGAGGTGAAATGGTGGGACCTGGTCTCGGCCTGTGGGACCTTCAGTGGAGGGGCTGGCACCTCCTGTTGTCATTTCTGAGGAGATAATGGAGCCCATATTTTCTCCCCCTTGCCTATCTCATGTGTACTCTCCCAGTCTTGGATCCTGGCACAGAAATGTGCAGCTCAGCCACCCAAGAGATGTTGACCTTTCCCCGCCTCTCTTCCTCCCTGCACATCGGCTCCTCCTGACCTGTCCTGTCCCACCCTCAGCTGGACACGAAGTCCCTGCTGGTCAGGGCAGCCTCTGCCCGCCTGGCAGCATGTGGTCCAGTCATTCTCACCTACTGTTCTGGGTGTGCCCGGGGTGGGGAGTTTAGGAACAATACCCTACAGCCCAAATGGCTGAGGTGTGGACTTTGACCAGAGCCTTGGGAAGGCCGAGGCCACCTCAGCTGACGCCGAGTGACCCTGAATTTGGGGGAAGGGTGCAGACCAGCAAGGCTGTCACAGGAGGGTTTAACACCCGGCCTGGTCCAGGATGGCACCGGGGCTACACTGAGGATCTGGCTATTCAGGTCCTTAAAACAAACCTGAGCAGCTAAAGTCTCTCAGCCGAGCCCCACCAGGAGAGTCTGATGCTAAATCTTTTCTCCCTGGGAAGTTCCTATTTTAAAACTGGCAAGTGCCCTGCTGGTGTGGCTCAGGGTTGAGCGTTGACCCATGAACCAGGAGGTCACAGTTTGATTCTCAATCAGGGCTCATGCAGGAGGCAGCCGATCAATGATTCTCTCTCATCACTGATGTTTCTATCTCTCTCCCCCTCTCCTTTCCTCTCCCTGAAATCAATAAAAACATATTTAAATTTAAAAAAATAAAATAAAAAGAAGCCTGGCAAGTACGCACAACTGTCTTGTGTCCAAGGCTTCCCAGGTAGGGTTTCTCTCCTCGAACCCCTTTGAAAAGTTCTCACGGTAAGAGTGGGGCCGCCGCCCAGTCCCAAACCAGACATCACCTTGGCCCACAGCGGATGCCAGCGGAACGACTGCGCTGCACTGTCCTCAAAGTCCCACGTGGCCAGAGGAATGATCACTTCTCCGAGAAACACCCTCCGGGCGAGCGTGCCCAGGTGCCACACAGACACCTGCAGCCGCCGGGTCACCAGCTGGGCAGGCTCCACCTGGTACTGCAAAGGTGGGACAGAGACATCAGCCAGGCTCCCAGGCTGCAGGGGGCTCCTGCCTGCAGCTGAGTGGAAGGTGTCCCGAGGGGTAAGCGCTCTGCTTAGGAAATCCTGACCGTCAATTTCTGGAGCCTCAACCATCACATGCACTTTTCTTAAAACTGGCGGAAGACAGTTCCTATACCCAAATCTGACGCCTGCCCCAGGTTGTATGA